CGTTAGGCGATAGGGCTAAGTAGAGCTGTGTGTCGTCTGCATAGCTGTGGTAAGCAGTTTAGTTCTTCTTTCTCATTATTTGGCTCAGTGGGAGCAAATACAGGTTGAACAGGAGTGGCGCAAGAATTGAGCCTTGAGGGACTCCGCATGTCATGGATGTCCCCTCAGACTTATGGTCTCCTATACATAATAACCTCTCCCTTCTAAGTATGACCTGAACCATTTTAGGACTATCCCAGAAAACCCGACTGAGTTTTCCAGCCTGTCAAGAAGTATGTCGTGATCTACAGTGTTAAATGCAGCACTGAGGTCGAGTAGTACCAGTACTGATCATTTGCCTGTATCAGTATTTAGGCGAATATCGTTTATCATCTTTATGAGCGGTCTCTGTGCTGTGATGTGGTCAGAAACCAGATTGAAAATTATCGAAAATTGAAAATAGAAAATTATTGAAAGTATCCATTCGAGCTTAATAATTTGTTCAGTTGATTGAAGACAACTTTTTCAATGATCTTGCCTATGAAAGGAAGATTTGAGATCGGTCTATAGTTGCTTAATATGGTCTTATCCAGATTGCTCTTTTTCAGGAGGGGCTTGACAACTGCAGTTTCCAGGTAGTCTAGAAAACTCCCAGAGATAAGTGAGGCATTTACCACTTCTAGGAGATCTGCTTCTAAGCTGTTTAACACACTTTTGAAAAAAGATGTGGGAAGTGTGTCAAGGGCACAGGTTGATGATTTAAGGTGCTGTACGGTTTCTTCCAAAATGTTGCCATCAATCTCGTAGTAACTACTTTTTGAGGTTGTGGTCTGATCTGTCTGACCGCAGAGCAACTCAAGGATGTGCTGATCACCTTTCTGATATTATTGATTTTCTCAGAAAAAGGAAGCAAACTCACTGCACTTGCTGTCTGAGAGCATTTCAATATGAATGTGTGTTGGGGGGTCAAGTCAAGTCAAGTCATCTTCATTTATATAGCGCTTTTAACAATGGAGATTGTTTCAAAGCAGCTTTACAGAGATAAACATACAATTTACGGTAACAGAGATTGTTTTGGCTTTATAGCGATTTTGAATAATGTTATTTTCGGCTAAAGTTGGTTTTGATTGATTCACTTCCAGCAAAATTATCATTTGTTATTACATTAGGGGCCACTAAGACGACGGCGTTCTCTCTAAACAGACTTTAAACGCGAACCTGTGACCTGATGGCGTTCACATGCGCATTAAAAATTGATTATATTCGTTTGAATATGTGTGCGCAGGTTTGTAAGGGTGCAGGGTGTCAGTCTCTCTACAGTAGCAAAAAGAGTGTGTGTGTTTATAATATTCTAAAAGAAAGTCTGACTAGCTTTGCCTAGTTCCATATTGAAAGCATGAATGCAGTCAATATGGTATAATAGTATAATACCAGAACAAAGTATAATACATTATAGTAAGTCATTTTTAGTATATTGAGTTTTTGTCATATAAAAATTCATTCATTAGGAAATGTCAGCTTAAATGCATAATAATAAAACAATCGGAAATAATAAGTATATTTGAAATCACCAAAACAAACATGCGCCACACCAAAAGGATCACACCCCTATCTTAATAGCTCCACCCCCAAATTCAAGAACATGCTATGCAACCCAGGCCCCTCCCCCTTGTTAATGTTTACGCCCCCACCTGCTGATTGGCTACAAGCGTGTTTTTGGTGCTTGGTCCAATCCACTTTCAACAGGGTTTCTCAGAAATCACTTCTGAGTGATTAATAATAATATCATTATTAATAATATATTAATAAATAAACATGATCTATAATACTGAGTATAATAAGTATAATAAAAGTACAATCATGTGTTGCTCTGTTCTGACAAATTCAGAACTAGTCACTTTTACTATATTAAGATCTTTCATCTTATTAAGGAAAATGTAATTCTTTAGTAAATGGCATAACAAAAATAAATGGAGATAATAATGCTCAGCTGGTCACGTAGGGACCCCCTCTCAGAGCGGCATGACCCACAGGGAATGCTACTAAGTGAGGACTGTTCACCCAGCAACGGCATTGTTACAACACAGCTGTTAGAAAACCAGCTTGACCACGAGAGACAGTGAGAACAGAAAGGTATGTTCCACTTGATGTATAGTAAAACTTTCTCTGTTTGTATTAACATGGCATTTCACATGTTTTGTCAGGCAGGGTCTTGTCTCAGGACTTCTATGAAACTGGCTGAGCAGGTTTATTCTTTTACAAAATGCAAATTAATGAAAAGTAAAACATCTACAGTATGCCAACGTAAATATATTTGACCTGAAATGCTTATTTGAAAGAAATAATAAATCATATTAGTTTGCTTATTCCTAACTTTTTCCATTCATGTGAGTATTTTGTATCTTACACAAACATGTGAACACATTCTAACCTACTAATACACATCTCTTCCACACACTACAGGCGTAGATTCCTCAGTGTACAAGTTGTTCCCCAGAGGAATATTTTGGGCTTTCAGAGGGGTGTCATGGGTGGGGATTGCCGGTCCCTAACTTTAGCCTTGAGTTTAAAAATAACCTCTCATCACATGAAATCAATAACAGCACTTAGATGTAACGGAGTGCGTGTTCGCGAAGTCATGCCCCTCTGGGATTATCACACTACTTGGCAAGTGTAAGTGACACCATCACTCTCACCTGGACATGAGGAAAATCCTGCACCAAGGTAAAACGGAAAGAAGTTGCTAACAACATGGCGACTACTTTACCAGCTACCAATATTCCAGGTTCTCACTTCTAATATGTTGCAGAAAATAATTTTCCATTTTTGTCCACAGAATAAATCAGAATTGAATTTCCTTCAGCCTGATTCTTATTCATTTCACTGGGGTTTTCCCCCCAACTTTTTTTTCATTATTAAAAACAAGCAATCCCAGCCCGGGTAAAAAAAAAAGCAACACATTACCATAGAAAGTAACTAATAACATAATTAAATAGGTTTTTAGGGAGTAACGCAATTTTATAATGCATTCCTTTTAAAGGTAACTTTACCCAACACTGTTAATTAACCACTTTAGTTAACATAAACCAACAATTAACTAATACATATTCTAAAGCATATATTAATCTTAGTTAATGTTAATTTCAACCTTTATTAATACATTATTTAAATTATTAATAGCGGTATCTATAAATATTAATTGGGCCTGAGCTAACATGAACTAACAATGAACAGTTGCATTTTCTTTAACTAACATTGACAAAGATTGAAAAGTGCTGCTGGAATGTATTTCAGCACTCTTGGCACGACGCTCTGCCAATCTTTTTGAAGGATATGAGCAAACTGTTGTATAATATTATTTAGCCTATAATGTCAAAAGGCTGTGTCATGTATCAGCAAAGATCATTACCCTCTTCTCAGAGAGTAACTGTAAACCAGCGAGTACATGTTGCTCTAGAAAGCAAAAGGCTGAAGGAGCATTTCTCGGCACTGCTGGCATGAGGATGTGTACCATCTACAGATTCATGGCTGATGAAAGCAATGTAGTCATCAGTGCAATTAAAGTACATGATTGTTGTTTAAACATTTAAATAGTTCCAATAACATAACGTTCTGTAAGAATAAGCATTATATATATGCTTCCGATGAACTTCAGATGTGCTTTATTGTACAGAGGAGAGACACAATCAACCAAATATTGTTTGATGTTTTCCATCAAGTATGCAGGGTAAAAGGCGTACAATTGAAAGTCATTTGTGCATATACTTTCCTGCTACTTTGGCCTTCAAATAAGTTATGCTATTAGGGATTTAAATGCAATATAACATCAAAAACACGATGAAATGTATGTGCATATAATGCTATTCCTAAATTGAATTATGCAACATACAAAAAATCGAAAACAATTCTGAACCTGAGCACATTTGTATCTCCATGTTCTAAAAGTGTATGGCTATACCAAAGCAGACATATGAAGCCTGAAGGCCACACTTGCATTTACTATAGCATAGCTAATTAATTACATTCTTATGCTGCTTTTTTAATTGATTAAACTGAAGTATGCAGTGCTTGCTTCTTTAACATTTTCTTGGATTTTCTAACATAAAAAAGCTATAGTCTTAAATTATTTCACAGTCACAGTTGGTTAAGCTACTGCGAATTTGCTATGACATGTTTTATGATAACTAAAATGAGTGTTCAAATTGAGCATTCTAGCTGAAATGACACTGTTTGGTCAGGTGTATACACGCCGTACAGCCATATACGGCTCTATATGGCTCTGGGTACAGCCAATTACACTGGTAAAGCAAGGTAATACTGCCATCTAGCGTTCCGATGTAGATATAAACCAAGTTATTTGAATACATAACTAGCGAGATAGTTCTTCAAATGCTAGTAAGAGACCCCACATTCATTAGATTATTTAATATTTTTAACAAACAATGTTCGACAGTGGATCGTCACAGCAGAATTGAAACTAGACCGTCTTCAACAAATGTCATTTTCACCACATCTCAAAACACTATGGCGAAAATATTGGTGGTGGAAATTATATTTCAATCATTTCTGGAATAAGTTGGCCGACTCGTTTCTTGCTAAGGCTAATTTCATAGCTAGCATCCTAAATAAATACGCAAAAATAAATAACAGGCCTGACTATTTTCACACTTTATGCAAACTGAAATAAATTAGGCAACATCTAGATTCGAAATGACGTACGTAACAAATATTCTGTTCACAAGTGATATTTACCTTGATGTATCTTGAATTTTCTTCACACATTTGATCTCAGGTAGCCTACCGTAGGCTGCGTCCTTAACGACACTTTAGTAGAAATTGCTGTGGTCATTACAAACAGCGAATTCAGAGCCATATAATGCAGCTTTCGAGGTTACTGCATTTTATTTGAAAATGCTTTCAAAACATATAGTTATTTATAGCCTACACACGTAGTCTACTTTTAAGACACCCTCCCTCCTCTATGGTCTGTGAGTTCAAAAGAAAGTGTGTGCGCGTGGCCGCGCCTCTCAGCGCGCGCTCAAAGGCGCACTGAAATAGCGGAGTGCGCGCTCTCCCAGACATCACTAAGATTGCTGCGGAGATGCTTGGATGTTGCATTCTATCATACAACACAAATAAATCAGACTATCTTCCACGTACCGACGCCTTAACGACTGTTTGTTACTTTTAAAATATGATATCCATGGAAACGCAAAAGTGACTTTGGCAAACCCGCGGTATCCTTTGGAAGTTTTAAAACATCAATAGCTACTCGTTGGACACGCCACAAAAAACTCGACATGAATGTTTCACACGGACTACTGAACCGGACGATCTCTACAGCGAAGCATCCTTTGGAAAGCGTCCGAGGATGCTGCAACTTCTCGGTGCTCACCACCAGCGACGGGTTCGGTTCACCGATTCAGGACGAGCGCGATCAGTTCATCATGCGTTTGGTGCAGATAGCAGTTCTCTGTGTGCTGTCACTGACTGTCATTTTCGGCATCTTTTTCCTAGGGTGCAATCTACTCATCAAGTCCGAGAGTATGATCAACCTGCTGGTGGAGGACAGAAGACCTTCCAAAGACGCGGAAATTATTATGATTGCTGCATGAGTGGAATACACTGTGTGTCGTGAATCACCAGTGACTTAACTGACACAAACTGGTGACACAAACTTTAATGAAAGACACCTGTTGGTATGATTTCCATGCCAGTGCTGAACTAAATGGATTTTTATTTAGGCCATTTCATCTTGGATCAGAACCTTTAACATTGACTTTTTTTTTTAAAGGTCAAACATGTGTTGTGTTAAATTTTTGTCTAGATATTCAATCAAAACACATCACCTGAAACAACAAGACCAGACAAAGATAACCAAATTCATTAATCCAGGAATGACAATTTCAATGTTTTGTATCTGAATTATGTGACTCATAATTTGCATATATTGATTCAATTGAAATAATTAGATATTTTTGAATGGGTTAAAGAAAGATCGTTGTGTGAACTTGCATGAGGGAAAAAATGGGTTGAAATGAAATTAAACATGAATTTCATTCTGCATTCTACAACTTTATTTTAGTTTCTAAAGGACATTTTTGGAATTTTTCGAACAGAACCTTTGATTCTGACAACAATCCAGTTAACAAACCAATGAATTATATAACATCTGTCTATGTTGAGCTGTCATCACGTTTCAGGTTTCTGTCAAATACATGATTATTTTAATTATATAACAGATAATATATTAATTAGATATCTTTAATGAAAGACACCTGTTATCAGAATACACATATGAATATATTCAGCCTTTCTGCAGGGCTGCCGAAGAGGTCCAACCATAAAGTGTCTTCAGCAGAGCAAGAATGTGAATCAAGTTCTATGAGAAAAGAATGAAAATTAATTAAAAGAAAGATGATACAATAAATGAGTTAACATATGGAGGCCCGTTGTTCCATCTATTTCTTTTGCCGTAGCTTGTAGCTGCATTACACCACAGTTTGGTGCAAAGCATTTAATACATTTCTTAGTAGCTGTGTAAAGCAACTTGTGTCCTCCCAAGATGGTCCCTAAAACCTCTCAGCATTGTAAAATATAGCAGTGCAGCATAATTCAGTCTCCATGTAATTTGTAAGGAAAGTAAATTTATTTTGTTTCAAATTAACAGCTAATGTTCTTGGTTACGGCATGATTCTATTTTAAAACAGATGTTGACATTTTAAAATGCACCAATATGGTTTTACACTAACAAGAGAATGGTTCAAAATATCAGCTTTAAATTTGTATATGTGCTGACTACATCTGCCTTTCCACATCAGTTTTAGCCTTAGGTAAATATAACAAGAGGAACATTTTATTTTTAAGACAGTATTTTACAGTGCACCCCAAACATTGAAAGAATGATGTATAATCATGATGTTTATACATTATGTAATTTAACCTGGGGCTCTCAGTATGCAAATCACATTAACAAACTGGAAAAACAGCACCCTTGTTTTATTTGCATAAATATCATTGTATATCGGTGTTTTTAAACCAAAACCTTAAAGTAGCATTACGGAAATGTTGCATAATTCTCTAAAAATCAATTCGGTAAAACCCTGTCCTCTTTACACACACTGCTCTATAAAAGCATGACACTGTTACAACATGGCCAAAGCCATTCAATGCAATACATGGGACAGCTCAGAACATGCCAAAGACGTTACTATAAAGTCACTGCCTTAAAACAGATGGTGCTGAAATACAGTACATGCATTGGAGGACAAGGGGCCATAATCCAAATTAGAGATTAAGGCTGTGTGCTATATCACTGACCCCAATCCTAGGACATTCAGCTCATAAGACCCCATCCGGACATATGTAACCGATCGCTGCTGATTATTTTAATCTCACTGCTTTTAATGAAGCTTGTAATGCACCACTATACCATATACATGTTGGATATAATACCATAAAGAACATTATTCAAGTTTATTCCGGTTTTCATTCATAAACAAGCCATTTCCATTACACGAGAGTAGATGTTAAACCTCATGCTGATTTGTACTCGGCTTTCGCCAAGATAAGCACAAACTAAGACGTAGCTTTACAGTAACCTATGCTTCTCTCTCTCCATCTCTCCATCCATTTACGCTTCTTTCCATATGTGATGTGAATCTCCTTCTGTCCGGCGTTAACGGCTGCAGTGTACTTGGCGCGTCAGTACACACAATGGCTGCAACTACAGTGTGGTCTCCCCAGTGGACCAGCACGACAACCGTCTGGATTGAGCCTAGTAGGGGACATCTCTAGGGTCTTCAAGTGGGCACCTTCCGTCCTCAGTGTTTCGTCGACTAGCCCACGACACCTCAAGAGGGCTCGACAGTGACTCTGGCGTCCCAGAGTCACCCCCCTCCGTCCCCCACTCAACTCAGCCCAGCTTACTGACCTCTACATCCCTCCTGCTGCTGAGACCTAACCACAATCTCACAATCTCTCCGCAACCCGACCATACGCGCCAACCCGTTTGACTAAGGCTGTCGAGCCCCACTGTCTTCGTTAAAGTAGTTTCAGTGGCAACGGTTCTGTATGGCATACTACCTACCGCAAAACACAATATCTGCCCAAACACCAACCCTCATTCACGCAATATACACAGGAACGTAATAACTGTAATTATTACTATGCAAACTATACAAATAAACCAACAGACTCTTCGAGTTTTTCAAGAATTCTACGAAACCGTAGCGTGGCGGCCTGTACACAGCCAGCCAGAATCTTTCCGTCTCAACCACAGCCAGTTGCTGCTCCTTTCTGCTGCTTCAAATAAGTTCTTTACAGTGCAACATAACTCTTGGCCACTAAATCCGACGTCTCTGAGGAACCGGGTTGTAGAGTGTGCCACAAATCCTCAACAACCCACTTCCATTGGATAAACCTGGACTCTCCATCCTCGCTGTTCTGCTTCAGTGGCCAGATGAGTATACCGCAGTTTCTTCCTCTCATATGCCTCATCTACAGCATCCTCCCATGGCACTGTTAACTCTATCAGTTGAACAATGCGTGCTGATCCAGACCACAAAACAATATCTGGTCGGAGGTCAGTGGTGGCAATCTCAGGTGGAAAAATAAGCCGTTGGTCAAGATCAGCCAGCATTTTCCAGTCCCTAGCAGGTTCCAGTTGTCCTGGGCGAGAATTGGTTTTAACACCTTTTCTTCGTGGTTGCTCGTCTGGGCGGAGGAATATTGTCTTCAGTGTGTAATGTTTTGCTAGAACAGGTGGCAACTTATTGGTCATGTTGCGCTTGCCTTCCAATGCTAAAGCCAAACATCGCAGTACTTGGTCATGGCGCCAAGTAAACCGACCTTGGCTAAGAGCCACCTTACATCCTGTCAAAATGTGCCTTAATGTGGCAGGTGATGAACACAAAGGACAAGAGTGATCCTCTCCTACCCAGAGGTTTAGGTTCTGTGGTGATGGGAGAACATCATATGTTGACCTGATAAGGAAACTGATCCTACTCTCTCCATTGACCAAAGGTCTTGCCAGCCCATCTTGCGTTGTTCCACACTTTCCCATCTCATCCACTCTCCCTGCTTGGCCTGGGAAATGGCCTTTATACACCTCATCCTCTCCTCCTGCTTTCGCACCTCGTTGACTACCAGCTTCCTCCTTTGAGCTGGGCCTGCCTTGTGCCATTTAGGAGGAGCTAAACTGAGCCCAAAACCCCCTCTTCCATGCTGTACCTGTCCCACAATATCACCAATTTGAAGGGCAGCCTTTGCCTCTACCACAGATTTCTTTGCTGACCACTTCCTACCAGTTTTTAACACAGGTGCTGCCTCCCTTACACATTTGTCGCGTGACTCTACTAAGGTCATTTCCAGTCTGACCTTGGCGTACTTAAACTCCTCGGTTAGAGCAGAGACTGGCAGCTGCAATATTCCAGAGATTAATGCAATATTCCATGACAAGGCCCAGGCAGTATCTATTTGAAAAGAAATTATTACTTTTGTTTACTTTTATTAACAACATTTTAAAAAATCAGTTTCAAATGAATGAACTTTCTATTCATCAAAACGTCCTAAAAAAAATCTCAGTTTCCATCCAAATATTAGGCAGAACAAATGTTTTCAACATTGATGAGAAATGATTCTTGAGCAACAAATCAATATATTAGAATGATTTCTGAAGGATCATGTGGATCACTGAAGACTGGAGTAATGATGCTGAAAATATTCATCTTTGCCATTACAGGAATCAATAGCATTAAAATATATATATATATATATATAAGTTTTTATTTTTTTCAGCATTATATAGATATATATATATATATATATATATTATATATATATAAGTTTTTTTTCATTTTCAGCATTATATATATATATATATATATATTAGAGATTAAGGCTATATACACTCACCTAAAGGATTATTAGGAACACCTGTTCAATTTCTCATTAATGCAATTATCCAATCAACCAATCACATGGCAGTTGCTTCAATGCAGGGTGTGGTCCTGGTCAAGACAATCTCCTGAACTCCAAACTGAGGGGGCTTTCACACTGGCAGTTTAGTTCGGAACGGGGCACGGTTCGCATGAAGAATCACCAATGTGAACGCTGTCATGGGACCCGGGTGCGCACTGGGGTACCGAACCCGAGACTACATGGAGGAGGTGGTCTGAGTTCGGTTGCTCCCGAACCGTGCCGCGGTTCGCGTGAATGTGAAAGCAGCACGGACTCGGGTGCGCACTTGTTCAGCAAGTAAAGTGACCTGCGCATGCGTTTTAGCTTATTGTGATGTATTCAGTTAAATAAAACACTTGTAAGGGATGATAGTGTTGATGATTTACCTTGGATACGTGCGAGAGTGAGCCTGCAGTGTATTCGTGCATTGCGCGTGAAATCAGGGCACCAAATTTGGAAATCCACTGTCTCCTCAAAAGAGTCCGTTTGCAAGCAGCAGAAGGCCACCTTATGTGACACACGCACAGTAAACCTGTATTGTTCACTCAACTGCGCATAATAGCAGCGAATTAATAAAAAACACAATACTGACCCGCGTTCTGTTTTCTATCATGCGCCGTGCACGTTTGCGATGACATAATATGCACGCAAACGCACCAAGGTTCGATAGAATCAAGTTGTGTGAAACCAGACCAACGCTGCGAGAGACGCCGGGAACAAACGCGCTCGGGCTCGGGCCGCAGCAAACGAGCCCAGTGTAAAAGCCCCCTTAATGTCAGAATGGGAAAGAAAGTTGATTTAAGCAATTTTGAGCGTGGCATGGTTGTTGGTGCCGGACGGGCCGGTCTGAGTATTTCACAATCTGCTCAGTTACTGGGATTTTCATGCACAACCATTTCTAGGGTTTACAAAGAATGGTGTGAAAAGGGAAAAACATCCAGTATGCGGCAGTCCTGTGGGCGAAAATGCCTTGTTGATGCTAGAGGTCAGAGGAGAATGGGCCGACTGATTCAAGCTGATAGAAGAGCAACTTTGACTGAAATAACCACTCGTTACAACTGAGGTATGCAGCAAAGCATTTGTGAAGCCACAACACGCACAACCTTGAGGCGGATGGGCTACAACAGTAGAAGACCCCACCGGGTACCACTCATCTCCACTACAAATAGTAAAAAGGAGGCTACAATTTGCAAGAGCTCACAAAAATTGGACAGTTGAAGACTGGAAAAATGTTGCCTGGTCTGATGAGTCGATTTCTGTTGAGACAATCAGATGGTAGAGTCAGAATTTGGTGTAAACAGAATGAGAACATGGATCCATCATGCCTTGTTACCACTGTGCAGGCTGGTGGTGGTGGTGTAATGGTGTGGGGGATGTTTTCTTGGCACACTTTAGGCACCTTAGTGCCAATTGGGCATCGTT